AATGTAGTAAAACAATAGTTTTTTTATACTTAAATTTTTCACAACATTAATAGAGTGTTTCGTGGCTATAATAATTTTGATTTTTCAAATGAGAATCTAAATTTTTTAACGCGCCCTAATAATTCTTCTTAACATTTTGATGTACTATAATTCGAAATTTGGACGAAAGTTTTCTGAATTATTCTAATTTAAATACCTAGGATAATAGTCTTTCATGGGGATTGGATATCGACTGTTTCGTATGAGTCGTGTAGAGATGGTTTCTTGTTTTGAATAGTGAAGTTACCGACAAAAAAAAAACCAATTTTATTTCAAATTTCAATAATTACAATGCGTCAACATTTTCAGAAAAATCGTCTGAAATTGATCATCTTGATAACTTCCATTGAAAAATGTAGGTTCTCATTTTGAAAAACCAAAGTTAATAACACTACAGGATACTCCTTAAGCGTTGTGAAAAATCTAAATGCAAATATATCGTTTTTCACTACACGTAAAAATTCCAAAAATCACAATTTCATTTGTAATTATGCATAATTCGACCATAAAATTTGGTTGAGCATGAATCAAGCGCAAAATCACCCTGTGTGTGTATATATATATATATATATAATATACACAACTGCATCGTTCATTTGCATAGTATCGTCTCTAGTGTATTATGAAAATATAATACCGAGAATGGCACGGATGCGGTCCGTCGTATTATAATACCTACGTGGTGATGTGATTTAAAAGGAATCAGCATTTGCGCTATTCAGTATAATATATTGTACAACACACGCATTGTTATACAAATTCAATTAATTTAATTCTTGAGTATAATATGTACTTATTTCAAAATCCATAGGCATACAATATAAATACACCTTGACGGTGGCGTATCCAGTAGGGGGGAGGGGGGAGGTGGTTGTAGCCCCCCCCTAAATGTTTTCGAGATAAAAAAAAAAAAATACTAATAGTTTGACAAAAGAATAAAGTGTTATTACACTAAGTGTAACTAAGAATAAGATAATCAAATTCTGTTTGTATATTCCGGGTTTAACGAAGAATGTATGTGTTTTACAAAGATATTTTTTTTTTTGTAAACACTTTTTTTACCAGAAAGCTTACTCGGGTAGTAAAGTATAGCACTTTTTCTGAAAGGAGATGTTGTCTGGGTGATACTTCAAAAAGGTCATTTGTTGAAATTTGCATTTATATTCGAGATAATGAGGAAAACCTGGTTCTTTAGGTTAAAAAATATTGAAATACTAAAAAACGGTTGTCATTGGCAACGGTTTTTATTTATTTTCGTTATTATTTTAAATCTTTTTCAAATAATCGTTGTCATCATGGAAACGCACATTGCTTTGGTATTCATTTTACCATAATATATGACACATATATTGTTGACAAAGCAACACTATCAACTGAACTCCGCTCAGAATCGCTTATTCGTTAGCAACGGTTTATCGTGGCTTACAGATATACATTAAATTTCCGTCTGTATCCGGCTTTCCCAACTTCTCACCTACAACAGTGGCTGCACCCACGTGCGAAGTATGTCCGTCCTTTTTTTTTCATTAGTTCGACAAATATAACAAACGTGTGACGAATTGAAAATAGTATAGAAAAAAACGTTGTGAAATATCGATAACATTTCGCAATGAAAAAATATGCCGAAAATGTAGACTAAACACTTTTACTCGGGAACATATTATTATTGTATTACGCGAACTTGAAAACTAACAAACTATATTACTGGATGATCAATTCACGTAAAAAAAAAAGTTGCTAAGCGCAAAAAAAAATACCCCCAATCCTATAACGATTGCGTGGGTCCGAGGAGCAAAACGCTATTATTTATTAAGCTCGCGAATTATTGAACGACGGGCATTTGGGACATACTTGTAAGTATCCGGAAAAAAAAAAAAAATTAAAATAAAAACCGATTGCGATACAATAATAGTGCAATACGTCATTGTCGCAAGTTAAAACGCATAAATTACCGTTGATTGTGTAATGACGCGCTATTTAAGCTATCATAGATAATGTAAAATAAAATATTATGTAATGTAAGAGACAAATCAAACAGTTAATAACAGGAACGAAAATTAAACATATACATTCAATTCCATATTTTTTTTTTTTATCAAATAACATATGTTTCAATGCGATATCTACTCGTCGCAATGATATGCTATTTCAGCTATCATATATAGTTAAAATAAAATGTATATTCAATGTTGTAAAATAATTATAATAATTTACAGCCATTAAGTATTAGATTAGGTTTTTAGCATTAACCAGATTATGATAACACATTTACAGACGCACACACACACACACACACACACACACATAGGTCTCCAGTTATAAGGAGGCCGGCCTCTTCTAATCGACACGGTGCGTGTACTGTTCCCGTTGCTTTTGGACCGATGATCACAAGCGAGTGTAACGACTACACAGAGATTCTTACAAAAGCACGGGAACCCAGAACAGTGTTGTATGATTAAAATTTAATAAAAAAAAAAAAACAGTTGTTACATTAAAATCTTTTTATTTATTTCGGTCGCCCTTATCAGATTCCACAGATCATTTGCCGCCCGGAGAAGAAAGGTAATCAAATTTATAATTAACTTACACGTGTGCGAATCAATTTTATATAATCAGGCTGACCCCATATGTTTTGATTGCAACAATTGGGCATATTTATTCTGGACGCCGCGTCGGAGGGAAACGCCGATGCGCGCGAGCCTCGGGCCGAGAATTCCGAACGCCGCTCGCGGTATACGAAAAAGCCGCGCGCTTTATAATAACAATTAATTGTAATTGTCGGTGAATTGTAATTAACCGACGCGCCCGAGACCGTAACATCGGCCGTTGCTCACTAGCCGGGAAACGAAATTAAAAGGCCCTCGGAGTCCGTTTTTCGAAGAAAACGGCCGGCTCTTGTCCGGAGATTTTTCACACTCTTTTGAATTATCATTACGGTGGGGGCTCGGGATGTCGGCACAAAGTGCATTTTTTGGGCTTTTCATTGCGCAGTGCGATCTGAATGCAGCACTCGCTTCGTGTAACGGATCACGTCAAAACTGATGGTTTTATTTCGCACCCTGTTGCATTTTTCGCCTGTTATCGGTCATTCTCATTGGTTTCAAGTGCGTTTTTACGCATCGCCAATTAATAGTCTACATTTAGATGGTTCAAAATAATGTCATCCCGAGAAAGGTCTTACAGATATTATTCGTCGATACAGATTGTCAAACGTACACCAGTTTTATCTTTCTATTTTTGCTATTTTTTTCCTTTTCCCTCCCCATTTTTCGGCCGCTTTTTAAGCCATTTTCGGCTACGTTTCGGATCATTTTTCGAGCGTCCTCGCGGTATACCAAATCCCGGCTCTGCTATTATATTGTACCCCGGCACGGTCATTATCTCGTCACATAATAATAATACGATTATACAACGGCATTGCCGCGCCACAGAGAGCCGACGAGACGACGACGACTACGATTCACTTAAACGAGGTAAATTTATTCGGTACGCGACGGAAAGACATAAATTACCCAAGTCACCGATACAACCTCATTTTAATGCTGCGCTCGTCGATTTTTCACACGGTTCTCCGTACACGTTTTCTCGACATTTTACAAAGACGGCCCCGCAATGTCACGAGGTTAAAAAACAAAAATACGCCCCGATTGTAGTTCCTCGCCTCGCGTGTCCTCGCGACGCGTCGCAGAATTATAGTACCCATTATACGTCGTTTTGCATAAGAAGGGCCCGTCGTGATTTTCCGCGACGATTCGGATTAAACGTATCCGAACAAACCTCTACACCAGAACACAGGTATCCTACGATAATATTTCACGGTTACCGTAAAAACGCATTTTTATGATTTTTTTTGCAAAAATTTACACCGCGCAGTCTTCGAACTCTTCGTGATCGTAAGTCAGTCATACCTTTTTTTTTTTTTTTGATAAATTTACCGAAGGTGCAGAATAGTTTCCTCGTTTCAGTTAACGCATTGAACACGAATCTATTACTAAAACAATGAATGCGTGATGGATGTACGAACATCCGCGATACGCGCATAATACCATGTTCTTTACGAGACTTAAGTTCGCCCGGCGGCAAGTTCGGGGACCGGCGGTATAATTATCTATAATAATAGTTCGCAAACACCGATTCTATACAAAATCGTTTCTGATCGTGCGGGAGTTTTTTTTTTTTTCTGAATGCGGTGTGTCGCCCGTCCATCTGGCGGGTCCGTCGCTTTAATTTCGAACGAAACCCACAGTCGGGGTGTTCGAGCGGCGCGCACGGGGCGCGTTCGACACGCAGTTGAAATTCGATTATTATCTATTCCGTCCCCGATAGTCGTCCGGGCGCCCGCCGACAGGCCGCCGCCGTCGACCTGTAGTTTCGCGTTCCGGACGTCGCTTTGACCAGAACCACGGTAAATACCTACGCGGTTAGCCGGGCGTGCGTGCGTGCGTGCGTGCGGGCGCGCGGATTTTGCGGGAAATCCAGTTGGCGTTTGTATGGCTCCGCAAACACGCCGGTCGCGCGGTTCGTGGCGATAAACGGTTTCGCGTGTTTTACGGCCGTCGCGCAGTAACATTCGTCGCCGCGGGTTTCGCGGCGTTCGTATTGTCCCCCAGCACCAAAATTAACCAGTGTTAATTCGATTAGCCGCGTTGCAATTATCGCCGATGTTTTTAACGCGGCGCGCGTGCGCCGTACGGGCGCAGTACCCGCAGTACGGCGCTATTCGTGTTTGTAAAAGCGAGCGTACCGGCGACCGTATTCGATAATGTATTGGTAAAAATCGGTTCGGCCGATCGGAAACGCTTGTAAAACCGTGCACTACTGTTCGCCGTAATAATGATAAGAGTCACGTGTAGCGGTAAAAAAAAATAAAAAAAACCCCCCCCCGAGCGTGTGTGACGTATTAGTTTTTTGTTTTTTTTTTTTTTTTATTTTAAATTTTAACGGAAATCGCAAAAAAAAATCACGGCGTTTCATTTCAATTGGTCTTCTTTCGGAATTCAACATTTTTCATGTTATCTCTGCGATACAGATACATAAACTCATTAACACCGCGTTTCTTACTCGTCTAACTTTTCAACTACAATAGTAGCACATCGGTAGTAATTTTTTTTTTATTTGATCATTTATTTTCCTTCGAACCACGAACCACATCAATATATTTTTCAACAGAGTTTTTTCGGAGGGAAGGAAGGAAGGTCATCACGACCGTCACCTTTTTATTGTATAGTATAATGATAATAAATCGACTTGACCTCGGCCAGCGAACGTCGCCATCGTCGTGATTGAGAACTTTTGCACCGTCAGCGCATCATCTTCGTCGCGTATAATGTATTTTGATTTTTTTTTTTTTCTTAGAGATCGAATCTCGGGGATTCGGGAGGTGAGAATAATAATTATACTTGGCACGGTTATAATTACTGGTGTACACGCGAGTGTTTGTAGTTTGTTTTTCAGGTCGATCCGAACGAGTTTTCGACTTTTTGCATGCTACACAGGCTTCTGACAATATTATTGTTCCAGATTTAAATTGTATTCATCGGTTGCTACCGATTTCTTGAAAAAATCACGTTGATTTATTAGCAAAAGTTCGGATCGTAGCGGCAATGTATTGGTTTTACGGTGATGTTTATTTTTTTTATTATATGAACACTTTTTCTACCAGAAAGCCTACTTCGATTATCAATTATGGCATCTTTTTTAAAAGTAAATGTTCTCTGTTGGTATTTTAAAAAGGTCATTTGTTGAAATTCTCATTAATATTCGAGATAATGAAGAAAACCTGGTTCTTTAGGTTAAAAAAGATTGAAAGATTAAAAACGGTCGTCATTCGCGACCGTTTATATTTATTTTTGTTATTATTAAGTTTTTATTATTTTATAAATCTTTTTTAAACAATCATTGTTGTCATGAAAACGCACATTGCTTTGGTACTAATTTTACCATATATGATACATAATATATTGTTGACAAAGTAACACTATCAACTGAACAACGTTCAGAATCGGTTTTTCGTTAGCAATAGCTTTGCTTACAGACATTCATTAAATTCCCGTCCGTATCCTACCGTCCCAACTAACCCATAACAGTGGCTGCACCCACGTACGAAGTATGTCCGTCATTTTTTTTTTTTTTTTTTTTTTTTTTTTTTTTTTATTACGTTATTTACGGCATTTGTTTTAAGCACGTTTTTCTTGATTTTTATTGATTCCTCTCCTCCACCCCACCACCACCGAAAACCTGTTAAAATACATCGGGTTCTCCGCAGGTGTTCCCAAACTATGTTTACACACGATCCGACACAATATACCGGACGGCAGAGGATGTCGTATACTTCGACGGAGCTAGTAAACGAAATTTGATTTTTTTTTTTTTTTCTCCATTTCATTTCCACATTGTATTCTTTCGCACAAAAGCCGTCCCGTAGTAAACATAATAACCCCGGGGTATATATGTTACGCGTGTCGCGTGTGCGCGAGAAAAACTCGTTTATATATTATTATACTCGTATGCAGGTAGGTAACGTTGAGATTTTTATTGCGTTTGTCGCGGAGAATCGCTTTTTTTTTTTTCGTTTTTCTTATATTGCCGCGGCGGCGGCTGCTGCTGCCGCGGGAGAGGTGCAGCATCGCGAGTGGCCAATTAGTAAAACCGACACGCGCCCGTTTCGAGAGAATATTTATTAAAAAAAAAAAAAAATTTTCAACAAAAATAAATAAATAAAAAATCGCCGGTCGCCCGGGCACCGAACAATAACAATATTATATTACGTTCGCGATCCGGTCGTTTTTACGCCGAGTGTATAAATACGCGGCGTTTTACTGCGTACGTATATTATTATTATTTATTTTTTTTTTGTATTTTTTGTCTTCTTATTTCTTAAGCTTAATTAAACCGCCGCCGCCGCCGCCGCCGCCAAATCGACGAATAGCCGACTCGGTTCGGCCCCGTAGATTCACGTCCCCCACCCGAACTACTGCCGCGCCGGAACGCGTAATAATATAATTTTTTTATTATTATTATTATTGTTATTATAATATGCATAACGTCCGGAACGGGCGAGCGGCTCGTTATTTTGGCGGCTCCTCTGAGCGCACCGCACAATAACGACACGACAACGTGCAGGTTGCGAATAGCCGGTCGCGCGCAAAATACCCCCCCCCCCCCCCCCCCCCCCCCCCCCCCCNCCCCCCCCCGGCCCCCTCCCCCATCCGAAAAATACACCATAAATAACCCCCGTCCGCCGGGACGCGTAACGTACGCGCCGCACGGGGCGGTCGCTCCGACAGGTGAGACGTTACCGAACGCCGCGCCGGGACCGGGGCCGCTCGGGCGGGCGACCGGAGTCGGGCGTGTGGCGTACGCGTACGCGTAAAAAAAACAAAAAAAAACAACGGACCGATTCCGATAGGAACCCAAAACGGATGCCGCCGCGCAATCGCCGGCAACTCGCGGGACCCGGCGGAAGTAAACCGGAACGGTGTTGACACGGCCCGGCGTTGCGCGCGCCGGCCAAACGAACGGTGACGGTTCGTGGAGCGGAAACTCAAACCGCCCGACCGACCGAGAAGTCGCCGGCAACTGTCGTGTACCTACTTTCGCGCCGCGGTCCGTGTTTGCATTTTTGTTTAAATTCGACGTCCGTCGTTCAAGCGAATGCCGGACCCGGGTCGCCTCCGGTCGCGGGGCAATCCAAAAGAACCGAACGTCAACGAAACCCGAACCGTCACAAAATATTTCCCTTCGTCAAAACCGTTACGTCGTCCGTATTTCGCTGATCCGACCTCTCCGCGCGGACTTGAACGTTGAAACTGCGCGTGAAAAATGCGTGGCGGCAGTTCATCAACGATTCTGCTCTAAACTCCCTTCCCGTTTTAAAACCCCCGATATCTAACCCGTGGCCGCACTCGCGGTTATTGTTGGTGACCCTCGGAAACGGCTCGAAAGGAACCGTCGCCACGATCATCTATAAAACAGCGATTCAAATGCAAACGACAAAACCGGTGATTTTCTTCCGTCGAAAACGTCACCCACGCTGTACGCACTCGTCTATTATATAGTTTTATTGTGCCGAAAAGGTACATATTGTGCACGTTTCGTTAATAAAAAAATAAAAATTAGGTTAATCTAATTTTTGTTTTATGTTAATCTTGCCACACCCGTACTTTATGCCACCTAAATTATCATGTTGCTCATACCTCGGGAAGTAATGTGTTTAATAGTATAATATTGTATTGACTTTATTCTGACAGTGAAAAGGAACGACTACCTCTAAAACCGCTGCGTTGTCTTCTTCGTTTTTTTTTTTTTTTTTCAATTAAAGCCGTCACAAACTTTTGATTGTTTCAGACGGCATCGTAATAATTTTATATTGTTTCGACAACCGCAAAATTATATAAAAAGGGATCAGGGGTCGGTTTTGAAATCGTAAATCAGCTAAAATCTGCTTATTCAAAAATAATTCTGTCGTTTACCGATTGAGGACTTGCAGGACTAATGGCGAGGAAGCACTTTGTGGTAGCACCGAGTTTTAGTAAACATCATTTCCTCGAGATTACTAGCTGATCTTAATAGAGTGAATAATTAATCTGTAATAAGTCAACCGTGAAAATCATGACAAAATTCAAGCGCGAGACAAACGCCCCTTTTAAACGTCGACTTTTAAGAAAAACCCTGGGTTTTTAGGCGGAGAAAAAAAAATCACAAAACCGTAAAAGTTTTTTGATACGATAGAATTTTCGTTTATAATTTGATATATGTAAAATCCTAATACATTATAACTGGAGTTCGGATGTTAAAGGCGTTCTTTTTTTTTTTTCTTTTAACGAAGTTAAATCGGCTATAAATTTTTTTCATACTTCGTACGGTTAGTAAGCGAAATTTTCTTCTTTTTATTTCTCTTTTTTTCTAATGCTTTTTTGAGCTTGTTTTTTACATTTTTACAATTTATTTCTTTGAATTTTAATTAAAAAAGCTTTACTAATTATGAGTGATAATATTTTTTTTTTGCATTTGCATTTGTACGGCTTTATCGCTTCTTTGCTATTTTAAGTGGTTTTTTTTCTATGTTTTATTGAATTATAGTATCCAAACTTTAACTATAACCTTTGCCGGAGTGTGCGTGAATATTTGTCTGGGAAAAAAAAACCCCCATTGTCTACTACACACACGTACCTAATACGTATGTAAACTCTGTGTATGGATGTTATTACACTTTATATACGTGAAGACATTATAATAATTCAAAAATATAACGCACCCGTTCAGAGTTTATTGTTACTGTTATCGTCGTCGCATCGGTGGGATTCGGATTTACATTTTTATAATATTATTATGCACGGAACGTGAGGATTATACGGAACGCAGTACAACGCGCGTCCGTTATTCAAAAAATAATTCAGAAACTAAAATATGTAGTTTTTTGAATAATTAGCGGCAAACGGTTGAAAATCATCAAATAAATGCTATGCATGAAAAAAAAAAAAAAAAAACTGACCTTTTTACCTATATTGCCGATATTCTTCTCGTTTTAATATTCAAACGTCCGATCGGTTTGTTGCGGGCCTTCTCACGCCTATACCTTTTGCAATCTAATCCCTTAAAATCCTCGCAACTATCCGTAATAATACGCATAGTATTCTTAATATAATTCGTTCGTCGAAATTCGTTTCACGTACCTTTGTCCTCAGTCTGTCTCTTCCAACATTGCCTTCTTCTATTACGTATCTTTTTCTGCATAATCATTTCCGTTAAACTAGACGCCTTGTGCGGTTTTCTCCTTCTGATTTCAATGCTATTATGCCAAAGTTCTCGGTTTTCCTGTATTCTGTTCAGTACTGTCTAATTGTTATCGCTGCGCTATACATGTCCGTACACAATTGAATCATAAGCATTTTCCGATAACACCACACGTTGCAAAAGCCTCAATATTTTCTTTTCTCCTTTCTGTAAACCGATTGCCAGAGTTTCTCAGTAACTCGCACATTTATACTTGTCAGTAAAACCATCGCGCAATTTGTGATCCTTAATCGCCCGCTTCATTTGTGCTATCCTGTTGACCGTATTATTATTATGACTGTTGCCGAAACGAATTGTTTTATTTGTTTAATTGTGTGCTTGATTTCCAGTAATTTTTTTCTTCTGAGACACTTATTGATCAAACTCCCGTAAAAACACGTCAATTAAAACTCAGACACGTGTGTGTCATATAAGAGTTCATACCCAGAAAAAGAAAAACGAGGCTTTTAGGATGAGAGAAGTTGAAACGTGCGATATTTAAAGGAAAATGATATTTTAGTTTTCGTTTTACGCACCGGAAAATGATTCCCGCGCAACGTGTGATAAGTCGTAGTATTCCTATTGTTGCCAAGGTACTCCGGAAATCGACGGAAATTACACGAAAATTTGCCGCTTTTCCCTATCTATTAAGAACACTTCGAGAAAAATCGAAATACGACCTCCCTACAATGCACCGACCAGATCAAATGTGCTACAAAAAATGTCCAATAAATCGTTTACGGACACCAAGAAACGAAAACGAAACACATCGAAGTAAAACCAATTGAAATATGCCCAGGGAATATAATTGAACCGATTCAGCATTTTATAAAATGTTATCGTTGGACGCAACGGTATCTGCGCGCTGCTGTCGCGGGCCGACGCGCTTAGTCTTCACTGTTACACAAACTTTTCTGTCGATAAATCACCAATGTCCAGGGCTCCGAGTGGAAAACCTGGAGAACGAGCTCGGCCAGTGTTCGAATGAAATATATTGTGAATTATAAATTCGGGAGACTCGTTTCATTATTTCTGCGTGTTTACGTATAAGCCCGGTCTTCGTGGAGTTGCCCGTTTTTTCTTTCTATTTTTTTTTTTTTCCGGTAACGAGGCAGCGTTTTACTCGCATCTCATCCGGCACTCGTTGTCGCGGTCAGCGGCGGATACAGTACAACGACTCGTCTAGGTCAACGAGACCTCGCACTCGAAACGTCCGCGGCACCTGCTCGTTATCGCGGTCGGTTTTTCGAGTGTGAAACGACCGCAAGAGTTGTAGTTTAGTCGCGGTCACCAAAAGATCGATATCGATCGTGTCGTTTACACCGGGACGGGTGTGCATGCTCCGGAACCGAAAAGCGGCTATCGTATACGCCAGGCATTTTATTTACCATTGTCGTAATTTGTTTTGGAAAAAAAAAAATTTGTAACCGTTATCGCTAGTTTTACGTTTTCTACTCTATTTGTATATAATTCATTTTTTTTTTTTTACTCACATTATATTCGTCATCAATCGTTACGGACGTACGCGTTAGCGTTCCAATAACTCTCGGTGACCCGCGCGCTTGCTTTTCGGCGGCATGTCACGCGTGCGTATAAAGATTGGTTACAAACAACGCACGGCGGCGCGCATTTCCGCGCGACAACGGCCGAACACACATCGGAAACGGTGCGACAAAAGCGGACAACGGACGCGGCCGGTGACCGCGAAGAACACGGCCGGGCCGCGCGACGACACGAAACGCGTTCGGCGGAACGGCGGAACAACGCGCGCGTTCGGGCCGGCGAACGCGGCGGTAGGCGCCGCGACACCGTATCGGCCGCCCGGGCCGCGCGAGGTGTCCGAGGGGACGGGGGAAAAACGAACCCCTCCGGCCGCGTCTAAAACGCGCGTCGGCCCGGCACCGGTGTGCGCGATCGGGAACCCGCGGTTCGGGTACCGCGCGGGGGGATGATCTTTGTTGTCGCGCGCGTAACCCGCGGCGCGGCGGCCATTGTTACGAGCGCTCCTGCGAGCACGCGGAAGAGACGGACGGGCGCGGCGGCGGACGAATGCAAAACGACCGTTTCGACCGCGCGCGTCGATGGGGAAAACGGGAAAAAAAAAAACAAAAAAACACACGAAAAAACGGTCGGAGGGGTCGGTCGGCACCGCCGCTCGCTCGCTCCTCGTCGTCGGCGGCGGCCGCTCGCGAGACGGCCGGGGGGGCCAGGTGCGCGCGTTCGACGGCCCGCGGCAGCGCGGGCGGGTACGCGGGACATCACGCACGTATTATTCTATAGTAATGATAATAATGCCCGTGCGCGCACAAAAGAAACCCGCGGCGAAGTCGAAGAGAAAGAAAAAAAAAAAAAAAACATTCGG